ATAGGGGAAAGCGGGGGAAGTTGTGCGCGCCGGGCGCAGGGCTGCGTGCCCCGGAGGGGCAGGAGGGCACCCGGCATCAGCGCCGAGAAAGTGGGTTTGGAAAGCAGTTTCTGGGCTCGGTGCCGGCGAAGCGCACTTAACCGTCATCCCAGGGATGAAGGGGAACTGGGAAAGTAACTCGGAAAAGTGAGTGGGATTCTTATCTTTTTTTTTTCCTTGCTTCTTTTTTCCTCCTAATCCCGTTTAAAAGGAAAGCAGAAGCCGCCGTGTGCACCCGCTGCCGGGAGAGATACGGGAGAGGAGGGCACTGCACACTGGCACCCCTGCCTGTGCTGGGCGGGGGTGCGGGATCCTGCGCTCGGTTCTCCCCCAACATGATCGTGTACCAAAGCAGCTACACATAGTAAACAGATTCATCATGCGACAGAGCGCAGGAAGGTGAGACAGAAGCAGAAACAGAAACTAACCCTTAAAGGAAGAGGGGGGGGAAAAGACGGCGACTGAGAATTACTTCCAGAGAAAGTGGGTGGATGTTGTGCAGCAGCGACTTGGGATTTTAGGGGATGCACCCTTACATTTTGCTTCTCTCTAGTCCGAGCCTCCCTTCTCGGGTGGCAGAAAGCGGCTGTACTTGGTGGTAGGAAAACAGGAGGAGGAATAAACAGGAGGGATTCGTTCAGCAGCGCTTGCGATGCCCTACTGATCTGCTTTAAGGATTTTTTTTTTCCCTGGTGGATGTCGATTTCTTGACCTTGATTTTGAGACCTTTTGGTTGCATCGCAGTTTTTGTTTCGTGTTTTTATTTCCTTTGGCGAGGAGTGGAAAGGGGGAGGCTGGCTTCGGTGCTGAAAGTTGCAATCATCATTATTTTGGAGCCAGCATGTGCACCAACATAGTCTACGAGTGGCTGAAGACCCTGCAGCTCCCCCAGTACGCGGAGTCCTTCGTCGATAATGGCTACGACGACCTGGAGGTCTGCAAGCAGATCGGGGACCCGGACCTGGATGCCATCGGCGTTGCCGTGCCCCACCACCGGCGCCGGATCCACGAAGCCGTGCGGCGGCTGAAGGAGGC